TTAATTATTTCAAATAAATTCTATTTTGAAAAATAAAAATTAAATGATAATTTATAATTAACATTCATTATTACTTTTGCAATCTTTTCTTGGTTTTTTTTACTTTCAGCACTCCTTCTTCGCCTCTTACTTTTTTTATCCTGCCTGCTTTTTATCTGCATGCTCACTCTTATCTGCATCTCCACCTTTACTCTTACTATCACTTCCCTCACCATCATTATCACTGCCAACACTTTTACTTAGTATATCAGCCTCTTTGTCAGATATTGTTATAATATTTATAGGGAGAACTTTTGTACCTTTTGAAGGTGATTTTGCTTCTGTTTTTAATGATGTTGCTGCTGTTTTTGTTTGTTTTGTTGTTGCTGCTGTCATTGTTGCTGCTGCTGTCATTGTTGCTGCTGCTGTCGTTGTTGCTGTTGGTGTTGCTGCTGCTATTGTTGTTGCTGCTTCTGTTGTTGTTGCTGTTGTAGTTGGTATTGTTGTAGTTCATGCTGATGATGTTGTTATTGTGGTAAAATTAACCTATGTGGTAGCGAGTTCGCTTATGTTAGGAAGTGATGAAGTATTACCATCCTGCTTTCTTTTTTTATATAATATAATTCTATCATCATTGTCTCTTTTTTTTTTTATCATTGTCATCTCTTTCTTTTCTTTTACTTTCCTTACTATTTTTTTTGCATCTACACTACTACTTTTTTTCGCTTTTTTTTTCTTATATGAATTTTCATCTCTAGTGGAAAAGTCTGTGTCAAATTCTGGATCCAAAATGTTAAATAGATTTAAAGCTTCTTCTAATAATGCCCAACTTGGACAATCAGGTGGTGGCATTCCAGTCATATCAACCTGCTTTTCATAATGCTGTTTATGCATTCTATTGTTCTTTGGCTGCTGTTGTTTTACAAATAGATCAATATGCTTATAGAATAGCTATTTTAACTAAATAAGTAAGACGATAGTCTGTTAATATGATATTCATACCAGCATAGTTTAATAAAGAAGATAGATTAAATTAATTAGCATTATAAATAATGCTAGCTAATTTTATCTCATAATACAATTTTTTACATATTAAAAAATTAAAAACATATATAAATAATATTTTAAAATTGATCAACATTATTTTTTTTTTAGCACCAGTAAAATATTTACTTACATTAGAGCCTCGCCACCATTTGTCAATACAAACTAACTTTTTAACCTTCTCACTGTCCTTCAACTGATCCTCATCTGTCTTCCACTCCTCATTAGAATGATAGGGATTCCCTCCTTTGCTTCTTGTTAATTTCTCCAGATTGTTGCGTAAATATCTCTTAATGCTTTTATTTAATACAATAACACTTTTTGTCTCCTATTCTTCTTCTATAAGACAGTAATTTAAATTATTATATTTTACTTACAAATCATTTACCTGATAAATCGATAAAAAATCACTGATATATTAGGTAAATAATTTGTGGATTAAGTAACAAATCATTTACCCAATATATTGGTAAAAGATTACTGATATATTAGGTAAATGATTTGTTAGTTAAATAACTTTTAAAAAATAATTTACATGCCAAATTTTATTATGCTTACTTTATTCATCTTACTATTTTTCTCTATTTTGACATGATTGTTGGCCTTTAATTTTAGATCAGCATTTATTGTTGCTGTTCGATGTTGTGTCTTATGATATTGTTTTAAAATTTTTTCAATCACACCAAAATGGTGCTGATATCCTGGTAATTTTTTTGTAATAGCTAGAATTAGCTTTTGCCTTACATCCTGTGATTGTCTAGCCTATTGTTTCATCAAATTAGGCTTTAGGTCAGATAGCTTATTACCTTCTATTAATACTTTAATTTCATTCTTGGTAATAATAATTATAATAATATTAATAATAAAATAAATTAATTATTATAACAATAATAAAAGTAAATTAATTATAATAACATTAATTATAATAACAATAATAATAATAAAAGTAAAAAACAGACAAATACACAAATGTGAGACAAATAATATTTATTCATAAGTGAAACCTCTGCTCATCTGTCAATACTTTTAGTACATCTTCACTTGAACTGCTGCTACTGCTACTAGACCTGCTAGTGCTTCTACTTGTGCTACTACTAACTAACCTACTACTACCTCTACTACCTGATCTACCTTTTCTCTTACTAACTGATCTACCTCTTCTTCTTTCAACTGATTTATCTTCTACCTCACTTTTATCTTCGCTACTAGTAGCTCCTGAGCTATTAGAGCTTAAGGGTGATGGTGATCTTGCTCTTTCTTTCCTCTTACTAAATACTGCTGCAACAGCTTGAGCAAATGCTTGCACAATGTAACTTGCTTCCACTAAATAATAGATTATTGTTGTGTTAATGATATATTAAAATTACTGCCTTTTATAAACCTTATATTTTCATTTCTTATGTTTACATGACTTCTTCTTAGACTTTTTAGCACCCATTTTACTGCTTTTTGGTTTCGGCAAACACTTTTCTTTACTCATGTTTTGATAAAATTTTTTGACAAAAAATTAAAAGATATTGCCCGCTTATATATTAATCTTATTCTCATCAACCTAATATCTATTAAGGGTAGGGTGTACAAATTTCTAATTTTATATAAAATAGATTGTAGATCAACTTTGTGTAACAAATTTTATATGATATCATATGA